CAGTTGCTTACTGTGTGATAAATGATGCTCTTGGCCACATGTTTCAGGATTTTGAGTACCCAGGAAGAATTCTTACAGTGTGATTACGGAAACAACCAATTTCCATAAGTGAAAATGAGCATGCTTATTAATGGGGCCGCAATTGCCTATTGCATTCAATCACATTTATAACTAGCAGGGAGAATGATTGTTTTGCATGATTTAGTGTTTACACAATTACCATTGCGCGGCCAAGCTTGCTCTACTAGAGGCTTGGGAAAGAAGCATATGTGGTCCTTTTGCAGGTAATAAAATGGAAAATCCAATTTGCAATTGCAGAATAAGCCTCTGAGTGATATATGATCTTCATAGCAGCATCGGTCAGAGGGTCACCGCTAATCACGGCGCTGCCTGGCTTCCCCAGTGGCCTGCGCCTTCCGACTGAGGAGTGAGCAAAGTGAATCTGTGTCTGGGAGCCAGTCAGCGTGTCTGTAGATGCACCACTTTCTAGCTTATTAGATCCTCTTTGTCACAGTGCTTAATCCTGCTGCCTGATCCTTGTTACAACACCACCAGAGCACTGCTCAGCCTTCTAATAAAGGGGATGGGTGAGGGCTCCTCACTCAACGCACTGAAGCGTGCGCTGCTAGGGCGATTGCTGGCTGACTGACAGCGGGGTGAGATGCTTCCTGCATGTTATTACTTAAAAGGGAACCTACCCAGACAGCTGACAGACGAGCTTTGCTGAGGCAATGGTAACTTGTTGCTAGGCCAAGATGAGACGGGTGTCATCTTTTCACACAGTATAATGGCCTAGCTTTATTCTAATTATATTAACCCTCTTCTGAAATTACGGCATGCCAGGCTGGCGCAGAGTGAGGTAAGAGAATCCAGAGACAAATAGCTCGCTGGGAGGATTACAGCTACGCAGAAGCAGGAGTCATGTTATCCACCAGTGACATTAAGTTGAAAAACAAAGAAGCACGTTCGATCGTGCCGAGCCCCCATTATAACTCTGCAGAGGCATTGCTTGGTGAGGCTCGTGTAGATTGCTTGAGCCTTCCTTGAGGGTTGGCTGAGGATGTTAAACGTGGTTTTCATGATGGTTTGTTAAAAAGAACCAAGAGCAACCAAAAAGAAGCTGTTGTTTTCTATTTTAGTGTCCAGTGAACCTGAATCATTCTTTTCTTTTAGGCTCCCCAGTTCATGAAGCGCCATGAAGCACCTAGATATTTGATTTACTAACATTATTTGATACTAAAATAGACAAGTGAACATGGGTGGGATAGGGTAACCCAGAACCCCTGTACACCCCCAGCCAGAATGTGCATGTAGGTTTGAAGTGATAGAAATAAAGATCCTCATGAATAGCCCATGGTCCTTACTGTTTTCCCTTTCAGACTCCTTTTCCCTGAAGGGAGTGTGTCTAGCTCACATCCAGTGTCTCCTATGTGCTCCAGTTAGCAGAAGTCATTAGCAGTCCCCTCTGCCTCTCCTGTCTCTGCTGACAGCACTAAATAGAGACATCACTTGGGACTGACAGATCTCCAGGGGTTTAGAGGCTTCAGACAGAAGGTCATAGCTGACTTTTCTTGGCATAATTTCCCTAGGTCTGTCTTCCATGTGTGCAGTCAGGGAGCATAGAACTTTGGTGCATTATTTTTAGAGGATTACCATTAAAAAGACTTCACATTTAGAAAGAAGCTGCTAAGCAGTTAACAAGAGGCTGTGCACACTCTGGCTGATGTGGGCTTGTAGGTTGGTGTTAATAGAAGGTGAGCTCTGCTTTCCTACAGAAGTACCCACTGGAACCTTAAGTTCTAGGATGGCCCACTGAAACCTGCCCAGCTCATGTTGTACTTGTACTTTGGATTATTACGGCAGGCCTGGGAATGGGGAGAAGGGAGCTTGTGATACAGCCCAGGGGAAGAAGAGAATCTTTGCCTCACTGTCCTGATAAGTCATCCCCGATTGCATTTGGAATAGCTAAGGCTTGTCCATGGCATCTTTCCCAGACCTTAACCCTGGTCCACGTTGCTCACACTTACTAAGGGTCCTAAAAATACAGCATGGCCAAAAATGCTTTGTATTCCAAACATAGCTACCTTCCCTCTTCTCCCTGCTCTTCTCCCTAAAGTTAAAAAAAGAAACAAAAAAATCTTACTCCTGCCATCCCCATCTGAACCACATACAGGGAAGCCATGCAGTTGAATTAATTAATTCATGGTAACTATGAATGATGGGAAGTCCTGGGTGCTTGTCCAACAGATCCTATCAACTAGAAATTCAGACTGTATTTCTCAGTAGAATAAACAGTATTGGGGAATGAGGAGGAAAAGGATTTAGGGAAGAATAGCTACCAGTGAGAGAACCCCTTTGCTTAGGAGTTAGTTCACATCCTCATCACATAAATTTACAGTTCATGCCTTTCATGTTTTTTTTTTCTTCTTTTTCTCATCCACTTTGGAATACACATTTTTCCAGGGGATTATTATTTGTTTCATAGTTGATTCCATGTTGAGTCAATGGGAACGGCTTAGAGGTAGGACAACCATAATATTTAAGCATACTTTGTATCTTAGGGAGATGTTTTGAGAGAGGTTTGTTTACTTGTAGACCCTCATCCCCAGCTTATTAGTGAATTATTGCACCATGGTTACTGTTGCCTGGCACACAGCCTCTCTCCCCTCAGTGACTGTGCATCCTAAGAACAGTGGGTAACATATACCTTGTGTGTGGAAAATATGACATGTCAGAAATTCAGACTTGTCCTGGACAAGGTGGCACCTGCCTGTAATCCCAGCGGCTCAGGAGGCTGAGGCAGGAGGATCTCAAATTCAAGGCCAACCTCAGCAAAAACAACGCACTACACAACTCAGTGAGACCCTGTCTCTAACTAAAATACAAAATAGAGCTGGAGATATGGCTCAGTGGTCAAGTGCTCCTGAGTTCAATCCCCAGTACCCCTCCACCTCCCAAAAAAGAAATACAGACTTGTCTATAAATAGATGACTTTTATCAGAAATTTATACTATCCTCATTTTTAGTAAAAGGGAAAGTTGGAGAAAAAGAAATAATGAAGAAGTGATATAGAAGAGAGGACACAGGCATACCACAGATTAGATCTCCTAGGAGGAAATAAGAAATATAGAGAAATGGAAATGATACTAGTGTCTCTCTTGGAAAGCGAAGAACCCTCATCCCCAAGTAAAGATAAAAACAAAAATTAAATAGCAGTCCCTTGCCAACAAGATCCATCCCAGGAAAGATACCCAACTAAACAAAATATATACACCCCTTGGATTTTCATTAACCCCAGGCAGCTTTTGAACTCAGGGCTCAGGAAATCAGGCTCATTAATTTCCCAAGTGACTTAATATTTGACTAATGATTTTTAGCCATTAAAATGAGGAAATTGACAATATCAGTAATCTTGGAGAGAAATGCATCTGCCTATTTTTGTACTCAACACCAACCACTTCTTTTGTTTCTTTGGAAAGAGCATGATGAATTGCTCTCTTAATACTCAGTAATATGTTTTTTTAAAAAAGAGCATTTTGTGAAATTGTAATCATTTTTCTTTTCTTTCTCCATATTTCTGAACAGTTACGATTGCATATAACAAAGAGAAGAAAGATTGAAAGTATATTTCTATTGTTTTAAGAAGAAATAATACATCATCTTCCTAGTAAAAGTTTTCATTTATCCTTTCATTCCCAAAGCTCGTATCAGCTAGGAAATGATTTGTGTCGTGGTCTAGTTATGTCCCAGAATATGTTTTCATTATACTGACTTAGGATAAAATAGGCAGTAGAGCCTCAGATCAGGACAAACATGCCACTTTGGTGGTATCCTAAGAAGAAAGATTGCTGAATATCTGTCTTCAAATAGCCCTGGGAGTCTTGGGCTTGGACCAGAAGTCTGAAAATGAACTTGTCCAGTAAAAAGCCTTTTGGTATCAGTCTGCAGCTGTGAGAGCCACATGCATCTTTACTACTTAACTTTTCTTTCACTCATAGGCAAGCACATGATAGGATGGTCTTTCACTCATTGCTTTTAATGTTTTTGAATACATGGAAAAGGAAGAAAGAAGGAAAGTAAACTGACCATCAACAGGTGATATCCGAAGGAGCCTGTGCTAGCTCATTTATATGCTACCTTCATGAGCTCATGTTTATTGATCCAGATTGACCTGCAACCTGATTGCTTCACCAGATCCTGTAGATATAAAATAAGGTCTGGAGTCAGGTTCAGATTTTCTGATTTTGGACATATTAGTTAATTTCCTCAAGTTTCCATTTCTTTACCTATAAAGTGATGTTAATAACTGACCTTGGAGATTACTAGAGAATTAAATGAGGAAATGATTTTTAAAAGGCAATTTGTAAACTGATTAGAGCTATACAAATGTTAGTCTCCATCATTACTATGTTAATGAGATTCATTTAGGTCTCATTCTGAGATGTGCTTATGCTAATTGAATAATACAATAATAATTTTCCTTGTTAACATTCTTGTTTTACTTCACTTGTATTCTCCTTTGCTTGATGAAAGAAGTGGTGTTGATCAGATTGGGTTTAGATCCAAAAGGACAAGTGGAGATGCACATTGATGTTGTCAAGGTAGAATTTAAGGAGGTTTTAATATCACTTCTCTCAATCTTGAACAAGTCTTTTTTAGTCTCTAGCAGGTACCCAGAAAAATAAGGCATACGCTTCATTGGCAAGAATTCCTTCCAGGTTTGTTTCTTTCCAAATCCTCCTGCTCTCTACTTGCTTACCCATCCTTCCTTTCTCCTTCCTTCCATCATTTGGTCTTAATTTTTTGAACCAGGGGATAATAACTGGCATTCATTGGGTCCCAGTGATGACTTAGGGTAAAAATGTTTAAAAACTCAAATGATTTTTTTGATCCATTAAAGTACTTCGGGCTATGCTGTGATTGCCGAGCATAACTCCTTAGATGGATCTGTGTTGAATTAAATGACCTTCACCTTTTTCATTTCCTTTTCATCTTTTCAGGAAACTTGGATTTAACTGGTCAGAAGCAAGTATTCAAAGCAGAGAACAATCCCTGGGTTACCCCAATTGCTGACCAGTTCCAGCTTGGCGTGTCCCATGTGTTCGAATATATTCGTTCTGAGACATATAAGTAGTAAGTAGACTCTGATTTTCTGAAATAGTAAACTTTGATTTTTATGGTGTTCATAACTATGCCATTTTTAAAAATTATTGTGTATCATTGTCCTATTTTTGGCGGTTAACAGGTAGCATTTCAAAATATTTTGTTAAAAATTACATGTGGTGGACTGGGGCTATAGCTCAGGTGGCAGAGTGCTTGCCTTGCATGCACAAGGCCCTGGGTTCGATCCCCAGCACACACACACACACACACACACACAAAAATGACTAGTTTTACTTGACATTTTCAAAGGTGCATTTACCAATTTTGTTTAGAGTATTTTTTAAGGTATTAAATTAGTTGAATATCCATGGCACTCAGGAAATTCACCAGACGCATTAAGATCAGAATATATTACTCTTCTGTGAGTGCAAAGAATTACAAGTGTTATGAGCAACATTGTTAAGCAGCGTATTTATAAAATCAGTAGAGAGTAGTAGGAAAGCATCCTTCTATTATTTAGAAGAGTTTACTCTAGTGAGATGATAATCTCTAAGAGAAAGAGGGGGAGAACCAGCCAGCTGAAAAAAACACAGGATCACAGTACCTCAAGTCTCCCTTCAGAATAAGGGGGCTGTGGAAAACCGTTCCTAAAACCTAGCTGTTCCCAACTCCTCCCTCCTTGGTTCAGTTCCTCATTCCCAAACCAGTCATTTATCTGAATAACTGATCCCTAAGGCTGAAATTAGCCTGCTTCTAAACACCTACAAAAAAGACTTGAAAAAAAATCCATAGTCAAATTTAATCTGTGTTTCAGTCAGCTTTTTTGCTGTTATGACTAAGAGACTGACAAGAACAGTGGTAGAGGAGGAAAGGTTCATTTGGGGGCTCACAGTTTTAGAAGTCTCAGTCCATAGACAGCTGGCTCCATTCCTGAGGGCTCCAGGTGAGGCTGAACATCATGGTGGAAGAGTGTGGCAGAGGGAAGCGGCTCAACATGATGGTCAGGAAGCAGAGAATAAGCCAAGCTCACTAAATATATACCCCAAAGCCATACCCCCAGTGCTCCACCTCCTCCAGCCACACCCTACCTGCCTCCAGACACCTCTTAGTTAATCCCATTGCGGGGATTAATTCACTGATTGGGTTAAGGCTGTTACAACCCATTTGTTTCTCCTCTGATCCTTCCTGTGTTGTCTCACACATGAGCTTTTGGGGCATACCTGACATCCAGACCATCCCAGTTTGTGTTCAGCATGAACTTTTGAAAATTTAACAAAATTTTTAGGAAACTTGGATTTAACTGGTCAGAAGCAAGTATTAAAGGTCATTAAAGGTCATATTCAATTAAAAATCACTCTCCTTTTTTCTTTTTTTCCTGATTTGAGGGGGGGAAAAGTATCAGAAAGATGCTGCCATTCAACATAGTTCTCACTGAATCTGTGCTGTGCTGGTGGGTCTGGATCCAGTGACAGGACTGAACCTGTCCTTCTAAATGGCCATCTGTGGTTCTGTAGCCTTAAAGCCTGAGCACCCTGAAGAATAATGACATGAAAATTAAATACACCAAAATTGCCAAAACAGCAGTATATCCACATAGATAAAAGTGGCTTAAAGTATGCTTTAGATTTTTTTTTTTTAAGGTGTTACTCTGACATTTACAGTATAAGCCTTGAGTAAAGTGAGAATAACTATAGGATATGCATTATTGTTTCATGACCTGTATAGATATGTTCAATTATTATGGATTCAATTTTTCTTTTTAAAAATGCAAATATAGCTCAGCCTTAGAAATTAGTGTCGTTAATGAAAATGTGTGGAAATGTAGTTGCAAGTTAACAGATTATTATTAATTTTGTTCTTCTTGTAATTAATTGCCATTGTGTATTTTAGGGCTCTGATTTTTTTCTTCATAAATGTGAAGCTGTGTAGAGCTTGGTTTGTAGGGTCATCTTTTAAAAAAATCCTGTGTATGTGATAGTATACAGAAAAATACACAAATAAACTACTATTAATCCAGAACTGAAAGAAATTATCTCTTTATTATCCTGGTTAACAAGTTTTTAATTTACTGTAGATTAATATATTATTTATGGAGGATTAGAATATGTTGCCCATGAAAGTGCTTTTAACTTTAATTTCATTTAAAAAGATTAATTTTGGAGTTTATGGATTTTAAGTATTTCAGAGTTTTTATTAGGCAATTAATCACCTTTATACAGTTTATAGTTGATTTCCATTTATTTAAACGTGGTAACGATTCTGGATAAAGGAGAGGTTTAATGCTTGGTTGAGTCAATTGGTAGTTAGTTACTTAGAATACATAACAAACATATTTTAATCAGTAACATATTTAATGTATATATTCCTTTTTGTTTGAAACTGGGGGTCAAACCCAGAGCTTTGGGAATGCAAGGCAGATGCTTTGCCTGTGAGCTACATCCCAGCCCTGATGTATCTATTCTTGTCTCCATTATTAGCTTCCTACTTTGGGGGCGGGTGGCATAACCAGAGCAGGTTCCTTGCTGTCAACATGCTTTTTGTGTTTGAGTTCCCCTCCAAGTACTCACTGCATACCTTCTTCTCTATAGTTAAATTAATGTTCAACAGCTTAAGTAAGCACTGAGTGCTATTGTCCCCTATCTAGGGGGACCACCTGGTACCCCTTACATGGCTCTTAGAAGCAACTCCATGAGCCTTTGGTGGAAGGACACACTTGGCATGAGCTCCTAGAGGCAGGGACACCCTGTGACATCCTCCCTCCTGCTTGGGAAACAGAGGGCTGTTCGCTGCAGCCTGACTTCAACTTTTCTGCCCTCCTCATCCTCCCTTAATGACAAGCATCACTTCTTGATCAATCATACTATCCCCAAACAGGGACTGTTGGCTAAATAAGACACCAAGTCAAACTCTTAGACTTGTTTTGTTTTGTTTCCTTTTAAATACCTTATAGAAATGCCACCATTGTGTTTCACCGAATTAACGTACTAATTTATAAAATTTACCATCTTTCCAAAAGTCTTTCTAAAGGACACATTCATCTAAATATGAGCAGATGTGTAATAGTATATCCTCATGTAACTAGAACCCAACTTAGTTCTTTCATTGTTTTATACAACCATTTCATAATTAATGAATTTGTAGTATCCTTCCCAACTATCAGGGGGAAAAAAATCACTCTTATTAGCAGATACCTGGATACTTGTTTTTTTTTTTTTTTTTTTAAAGTTTCACATGTGAAAACTAAAAAACAATAGCAGATTCAGTGTCTTAGTTTTAGATCTTCAAATCCTAAAAGTCAACGTGTCTCTTTTTATTTAAGCCACATATGCTCCCTTCAATAAAAAAAAAACTTACGTATTAATTTAGGCATATGCATGTGTGCATAATAATGTTATATATTTTAAAGATATGTTTTATACAAAGGTATAGAGGGAGATATAGATAGATCTGTGTCAAGAAAACGGTGCTGTTTTAGCAGTTGAAATAGCTAGGGTACCTCCCTCCTTTCTCCTTGACTCCAACCAGTTAACCTGTTACCTAAGTGAGACCAGTGAAGAACCAAAGAACTTGCCAGAATGTTGTACTTTCATGCTGATCTGTGGGCTGGTGGCCTACACGGTGACCTTGGTGCTCTCAGCACATCCTGGAGGCCTTCACGTGTGGGGCAGTGACAGCGTGGAAGATGGATTGTCTGATTTATAGACTCTAATGGACTGCAGGAGGGGACCTGGACATTTGGAACAAAACGGTGAACTCGGTGCTTAGGAAGAAGTAGAACACTCAGACGTGATTTAGCTTCGTGAGGAGAGGAACTCCTTTGGTGAAGCAGCAGGAAGTTGAGGCACAGTTCTTCAGAGCTGGTTCTCTGGAGGACATTTTGGGCCTCCATCATGTCCTCCTTGCCCTTTCTCAGGTAGAGGACTCCCCTTGATCATCTGTTGTACCTTCCGCAAGGGGCATATCCTGGCTGGCATCACTGCAGTGCCCATCTTAAGTTACTCTTGTGGGTGAAAGTAAAAGAGTTTGCTGGGGCTGGTGCTGAGGATGGCATCTCCAAGGGCGTCACCATCTTTCCACTGTTGAGTCAAGCCGTCTTTTGGCTCTCCAGGGGTGGTCATCTCTTTGTTTGACCTCTTTAATTTCACAGAAGCAGAATTACAGTGGAACAGTCACTGCTTGTTCAGTTTCCTGAAGGCAGACTTTTCCCCAGGAGGGGCCATCGGGGTGCTTCACAAGATCCACTGTGAAAAGGAGCTGCTCACGCTTTTCAGGATTCACGAGGAAGGGGGACAGTGAGCGCAGCCACTTAAAAAGTAGACAAGTTAACTGTTGTCAGTAAATTCACAAAAGAAAGAGGTGTGGCTCTGTGAGGTGAGGCTGAAAATAGGTTTGGTAGATAAGAGTCATTTGGAAATCCAGCCTCCTGGTTTGCAGTGTAGTGTGACTCAAAACAGCTGTTGTCCTCATTCTTCCTACCTGTCACTCCCTTTTCACCCTAGGGAAGCGTATGCCCCTCGTTTTTTTGTTTGTTGGTTTGGGGGTCTTTTAAATGAAAACTGGTCGTACTATTATTCATATTAATTAATGAGTGGCAACATTCTAATAAAACAGTGCTTACAAAAAGTGTTGGTGAGGATGTGGGGGAAAGGGAACACTCATACATTGCTGGTGGGACTGCAAGTTGGTGCATCCACTCTGGACAGCAATATAGAGACTCCTTAGAAAACGTGGACTTAAAATCTGCGTACTACAGTGCTGATTTTATATCAATGTTTATAGCAGCTCAGTTCACAGTAGCTAAACTGTGGAACCAACCCAGATACCATTCAGTAGATGAATGGAAAAAGAAATTGTGGTATATATACACAATGGGATATCGCTCAGCCATAAACAATGAAATCATGGCATTTGCAGATAAATGATGGAGTTGGAGAATATCATGCTAAGCAAGATAATCCAATCCCCCAAAACCAAAGGCTGGATGTTTTCTCTGATATGTGGATGCTGATCCATAATGCGAAGGGGTGTGG